CAGAATTTAGCAGTAAGAAATTACTCGTCATCCAGTTTTTTATATCGACTATGCATTCCATTAGTTTTTCAAATAGGTATGTTTTGCTGAGCCGCGAAGAAATATAGAGCTGAGTATCAACATTTGGACTGCTGCGTGTGTATTTGAGCTGAGAACTGATCGTGCGTTGTATATGAGAACTGAAGAAGTGGAGCATGCGCGAGAGAGAGCACTTCTATCAGCGCTATCCCGCCTTCACTAACTTCAAGTTAATCGACAACGAATTGTGACTCCCGGGAAAATGTATATATGCACCTAAATGACGCTAAAAGGACTTATGAGCAACTAACCATTTCTATGCATAACTCTATATCATGTATGTAACCTACACATTTGACTATCATGTCCTAATCACTTATTGTGTATGTATTTTGAATAACTATTGAATAGTTTATCGGATTATATTCATGTTGGGTATGTATGAGTTTGAAAATTCATGCTTTAAACGTTTCTATCAATCAATACTTTGTCAAATATATTATATTCTGGTTATAGAAATCATGTCCAAATTATACTCTGCAAGAGCGGGAAAATTCGGACCATGTGACTGATAAGCTAACGTGTGATTTATGTATTGGGAGGAGAAACATCGCAACACCCTGAGCAAAGACATTGTCTAATTGGTCAAGACACCATTTGGGATGTGTCCAACAGCCATGTTTAAATACCTAGGACACCATCAAATTATGTTTTTAGTCATCGCTTTTAGCCATGATTTTTGCCCATGAATTCATCGAGTGCCGTTCCAGTGTGCTTCGGCCTGCACGCCCACTGCTACTTAGCCACGATGAGAAGAAAACCATCTAGTCTCGTTACTTCTATTCTTCTACTTTCATTTCTTTTCTTTCCATTGAGAGTTTCGTGTTCTGAGTTAAGTTTTGTCTCCGAGTTCACCTTGAGTCTGTGACCGCCACAAAACTTCAACCAGCCCACAACTCCGCATCTTCAGCCAACGCCCAACCAAATATTTAGTTCCAGGTTTTTGCCTTGATAGAAAAAAAGACTACACAACAGTTTTACACAACACATTTATTGGATATTAGTCCCTATTTTCCTCATAAGAATGAATAAAAATGAAAACTTGATTTTCCACCAGTAGTGGGCGTGGCATACTCTTCGACTATATCAATAAACCCCACCCTCAAAACTGATTAGGCTTGTTCGAGGTGCATCGGCGCTGCGCAGACTGATCGGTGTATGACATCAATGTACAGCGAGAGTGATTCAAATGCTTAAAGAGTCGTCTGCTCTCTAATCACACTCGCGGACCTTTTATGTCATACGCCGATCGGTCTGTGCAGCACCGATGCATCTCGAACAAGACTATTGACCGTTGACTGTATCGGCTTGTATCGTTTTAGTGAAGTGACTTCACTGGTGACGTTCGAAGCCTGGTTTGATTGCAGTGCTTCGAGAAAGGGTTCACTTTTGGGGAATCCACTCAGCCTGGAAAAGAAATATTGTTAAACTTCCACTTCCACTGCCTTCTGTCCAGTCCACATTAATCACTTTCACCCTCTTTTATCCAGTATAAATAACTCCATAATTTCCCTCTGTTTGACAAAAGCATTGCCCAAGTTACAAATTTATGAAGCTTCGTCTCACCACCACTAGAAAACAACACAATATAATTCAAACTAGTGATGGGACGATTGATACCGAGGCTCCGACGCAGTTTTCAAAGCACTATTGTATCACACACTGTGCCGATGCTTGTATCGAAATGACAACACCACGGGATTGATGACGTTTGAAACTTCGAACCTC